TGTTCTGGCATTCATTGTTGCTGTGAAAGATGAGCTGTCAATCTCATTTTTGCCTTTTGTAGGTAATTGACTTTTCTTTTGTTCTGCAGTTTATCCTTAAATAATGTGTTCAGGTGTATATTGACCTTATTTTCTCTTTCTTTCTCTCTTTCTCTCTCTCTCTTTCTTTGTGCTAGGGTCTTCACACTGAACTATATCCCCAGCCCTTATTTTGTTTGTTTGTTTGCTTGCTTGCTTGCTTTTGAGATAGGGTCTTGCTATATTGCTAAGTTGCCCAGTCTGGGCTCAAACTTGTGTGATTGTGTGATCCTCCTGCCTTAGCTTCTTAGAGTGCCAAGAAGGAGCTGGGGACAACTTCCAGGTCATATCCCAGGGACCCGCATTCTGCCAGGCCTCAGCTGGGATCAGTGGAGTCAGCTATGAAGTCATCAATGGACTGATCCACTGCTGAGTACACCACCACCATGATGCAGTTACCTTCCAAAGTCCCACTTCTGAACTGGAGACTTTTAGGGGACATTTTAGATCTAAACCCTAACAGGGACTTTGCCAAGAGCAATTTCATTGGGGATTAACAAGTGGAAATTAAAATGCAAAGGATCAAAGCCTGAATGTACTGTATGGAAAGGGAGACCAGAAATGATGACAATTCTTTCAAGAAGCTTATCTGTTTGTTTCTAAAGAAGGTAAAGTAGAAGGTAAACATTTAAGATGAGATTCTTGAAATGCTTAGATGCTGAAGGAAATAGGCCTTAGAATGAGGATGATTGATGATGCAAGCCACAGATGATTAAATGATGTACAAGGTCCCTGGAAAGGCAAGGGAGGGGAATGGTAGAGAGAACTCTTCTCCCAAGACAACCAGCAAAAGGGTAAGTGGGCATGGGCACATTTTTAGATGTGGCTAAAGACTCTGATGGAATTTTCATCTGATGGCCTTGATTGTTCCCTATATAGTGGGTAGGCAGCAAGATCTTTTGCTGATAATAAGTGAGAAATGCACAATAGAGAAAGTACTTGAAGAGAGGGTGAGTTTTAGAAGAGGCATATGGGAGAGGTCTGACCAGGGCTATGTGAAATATATCACCAAGTAATGCATGGAGGTTAGTGAATAGAAATGGGTGGTGCCTGAGATGTACAAAATTAATTCATTAATAAAATCAAGGCATATTTATTAAATGCCAATAGTGTGACAGGCAAGATTCCCATACAGGGGAATGAATGATGAACAAGGCCTATCTTCATGGGGAGACAGCACACATGTACATACTCTAATGTTAGACAGAATTATGTGCTATGAAGGAGAAAAATTTTTGTTTCAAATGTAAGATCAAAAGCTACCAGTTTTTAATTGAGCTCATTGGTTAGGCCTCTCTAGGCAGGTGGTACTTGAATAGAAGTGTGTGTGAAGTGAAGGAATGATCCATGTGACCCTCATGGGAGACAAAGTAAGACAGGTACAAAGGTCTTAACAAAGGGGGTGGGGTGTGCTTGGCATGCACCAAGAATGCCAAGGAGGCCAGTATGGCTGGTGCAAAGACATGAAGGAGCTGGGTGGAAGATTAAGACTGAGATGCAGACCCAGATCAGATCTTGTAGGATCTGAGGCTGTGGAAAACATTTTGCATTGTGTTCCACATGTAATGGGAAGCTACTAGACAGCTAAAAATAAAGGGATGATGTGATCTAACGTCACTCTGGTTGTTGTATGGAGAATAAATAAACCGAAGAGAGGGCAAGAAAGCAGAAAGAGAGCTAGTGGTGAGGAGCCCAGTGCAGTGGTCCACTGTAAAAGCATGGTGGAAATGTTAAGAAGAGGCAACACTCTGTACATATTTTGAAGGTGGAACTATAAGATTTGCTAATGGATCAGATGTGGGATGTGAAGTCAACAGAGGAGGTAGCACTGTCCCCAAGGGTTTCGTTCTGGGATCTGGATTAACGATGCCTCTGGATGAATGGATCAAGCTGGAGAACACTGAGGGAGAAGAAGAACTGGTTGGGAGGTGTCAGGTACAAATAATCAGAAGTTTTCAGCATGTTTATTTGAGACACCTATTAGATACTCACATGTATATGATGAGTGTGCAGTTGTATACATAGGTCTGGAGTTCGGCAACAGCACCAGGATGGAGGTATAAACCTGGGAATTATTTGTGTATTCAAAGTTATGGGACTTGATGAAAGCAAGGGGAAAGTGAGTATAAAAAGAAGATACCTGACCACAGAGCTCTGACGCCAGTTAGCAGAAAGCGGAAAGATGTGGAGGTAAAAGAAAAGGAAACTGAAAAGCAAGCTCCAGTGAGGTCCGAGGGAAACCTGGAGAGTGTGGGGTCTCAGGAGCTGAAGGAAAAAAGTATACTGCAAAGAGGAGCCAGGTGTGGTGGTGCACTCCTCAGCGCTTGGGAGGCTGAGGCAGGACGATTGTGCTTGGTTCAGCCAGTCTGGGCTATGTACAATAATGAATTCAAGGGTAGCTGGAACTACATAGTGAGACCCTGTCTCAAAAAGTGAAAGAAAAAAAGGAGAGAACGCCCACCATGCTGAATGTTGTGAGATAGCGAGGACTAGGACTTGACCTTTGGCTTTGGCAAAGTGGAAATCACTGGTGGCTTTGACGAGAGCAGTTTCTCTGCAGCAGTAGGGACAGAGATTGATTGGAGAGGGTTTAGGAGAAAACGAGAAGAGGGATGTGTAAATATTGAATGTGAGCTCTGGTAAGGAGTTGCAATAAAGGGGAGCAGAGAGAGAGAGCAGTAGCTAGAAGAGGTTGCTCAGAGAGATGTGGTGAATTGTCCTCCAGCATGTAAGCTAACAACACCGGTTCAGGGCCAGGGGACTGAAGGAGGGCACTGAAGGCAAAACCGTCAGGGAGCTGCTCAGAGGCCAAACAGAGGCCCCTGGGATTGGGCTGGAGTAAAGCAGGTGATGCCAGAGTCCATACACAGCATTGAGAATGGCTTTCCTAGCTGGAGTGTGAGCCCTAGAGAATGAGGAAGGACAGCCAAGAAATAAGACATTTAGAAGAAAAAAAAAAAAAGATCAGGGAAAGAAAGAAACTATCATCTACTGAGCACCTACAAGGGGCCAAGTGCTTTCACATGTACTACAGCTTTGATGTCTGAAGTGTTAAAATCTCCTTGTACAGATGAGATTGCAATTCGGACTTTTAAGTACACACCTGGGTCATGCAGCTAGCTGATGATCAGAACTAAACTAGTTCTTCCTGAAATCTGAAGTCCATTCATTTTCATTTTTCCCTCCCTCCACCCCCTTTTTCTGTCCCTTCTTTCTGAGGTATAATTTATGTATATAGTAAAGTACAGAAATCTAAGTGCATAGCTTATGAACTACACACACACACACACACACACACAATTTTCATACAGGTTAAGATATAGTACATTTATAATACCCCAGAAAGTTTCCTTCTCGTGCCTCTTCCATTTCATATTCTTCCAAAGGTAGCCATTATTCTGATCTCTATCACATAGATTCGTTTTGCCTGTTTTGGCAAAATGGATTCATTTAGTACATACTCTTTTGTGCCTGGCTTTTTTTCACTTAACTAGTATGTCTGTAAACTTTCTGTTTTGAGTGTAGCAATAGATCATCATTTTTTCATTCAATGTTCTATTGTAGAAATACATCTCAATTGTAATCACTCTGCTGTTGATAAGCATTTGGATTGTATTTAGAACTATTATGAATAATGCTGAATATTATGGCTATTTCTTAAACATAAAATTGAAAGCATAAACTTTATTTTCTCTTGGGTATCTATCTCAAGAATGGAATTGTGTTCTTCAGGTAGCTGTATGTTTAACTTTAACAGCTACTATCAAATGAATCTTCGATGGCTCTACATTCTCACAAACACTTGATATTGTCAGACATTTTAATTTTAGGTACCTGACAGGGAAGTACTTGTATCTCACAGTGGTTTGAATTTGAATTTCCTCAATGAGTAATGGTGCTGAGCACATTTTTTTTGCTTATTGTTCATTTTATATCCTTTTTGTATGAAGTAGCTTCTCATCACATATTTCACATATTTAGTTCATTTTAAAATATTAGGTGGGTCAAGTTTTTTCTTAGTTATTTGTATGAATTTGTTATACACTAATTTTAGTTTTCTCTATTAGCTTTTTAGTTTACTATCAATTAATTAATTCTGGTTCTGGAAATAAAGCCCAGGGCTTAAAAATCTAAACAGCTTTTTAAATTCTTACATAATGCTTTTACTAGTTGCCTGAGAGCTTACCATGTGATTCCATGTTTTATTAAAGCCTACCTTAAATTAGTTCCTTTTTCACTAAACACAATAAAGGTGCAACACTTTTACTCAATTTAACCTATTTTTTGCAACATTGTAGCTCTATCTGTAACTTCTATATATGTTACAAACCTCTCGACTCATCACTACTGTTGGTTTACATGGCCTATTTTGACATCTAAGCATCACAGAATTATAAGAGATTTCACATTGCCTTTTAGAAGCTGCTGGCCTCACTTTCCAGCCTCTTCTGCACAACCCAGCACTCAGCAAATGTCTTGTGGGAAAATGCAGCCACACTTGAGGCTCATATCAATTAGTTACATCAGCCCACAAGGGCTGCCAACAACTTTATTTATTTTCCCCTATTAAAGTCCCTCTGCCTGAACGCATGCACCAAACTCACATATGCTTCCAAGCGAAAAAAGCCCTGCAGGCATCCTCTCTAGAATCTGAGTCCTCCAGTCCTCATCGCTTCCACAGACCTTTCTGACTTCCCTGGGAATGTAACGTTTGTAATTTACCCAGCTGTTTTTCCTCATTGTTGGAAGAGGAGCTTTTGGCTGCCACAATCTACTATGACCCAAGCTCAGGGAATAAATGAAGTAGAAGGGGGGAAAACGTAGAATATGCCTGATCAGAAAAAGGAGAGCAATAGGTAGCTATAAACAAGTATAAGACTTTCTCCCTACTGAGCTCTTGGTCTATTGCAGTGTGGGTTAGGAACCCTTGTAAGTATGGATTTTTCCAGGTTGAGCACTTGCGTGGAAAGAGGACGCTCGCTCATAGGAGATAACCATTGTGCAGTATATCTACAGGGCCCGGGCCTCCCTCAGCCAGCAAGTCTAGCTCACTAACTCAGGTTCTTTCCATTGCCTTTTTTTGGGTACTGGGGATAGAACTCAGGACGTTGCGTTTTGGAGGCAGGCATGGTGTCACTCAGCCAAAGCCCCGGCCCTCCACTGACTTTTTGATTTTCTATAGAAAACAGAAACAAGCGAGGGACTCTTGGAATTTGAAATGAGAAAATTATTTGATATTTTATAAAGCTAAGTCTTCTGTGTGTGCGTTTTGTTTTTTTTTTTAATGGATCAGACAACAAGAAGTAAGCTAGTAACCACGAGCTTCTTGATTGAGGAGGGAAAGTTAACCTGGGGGAGAAGGGAAATGAAGGGACTATGATATTTTATCCTCTGGAGTCAGAGTTAATTTGCTTGGGTTAAGAAGTCTGAACCCAGAAAACATCTTTCTTACTGTCCCTATATTTTAGGACCATATTCCTATAATTTGGATTCTAGACTCATTTTGAATTATTCAGTTTTTAGTTATCTCATGTTTTAGTCACTTTCTTGATGCAGAGACACAGTACCCAACACGCACAACTTCAAAGAGGAGAGGTTTATTTTGGTTCATGTTTTCAGTCCGTCGTTGGCTGGCTCCAAGCCAGGAAGGGTATGGTGGAAAGCTCTACTTGAGGAAAGCGGCTCAACTCCCACTCGCAGGAAGCAGGCAAGGGAGGAGCTGGGAAGGGAGGAGCTGGGAAGAAAGACCTTCCCTCCAGGCCCCGCCCCAGTGACCGGCCTCTTCCCGCCAGGCCCCACCTCCCGCCAGCACAAGGGGCTGCTGAACTCAACAGTGACTGAATCCCGTGGGGTCAACACCCTTCTGGTTCTATCACCTTTCAAAGCCCCGTCTCTGAGCTCTGAAACTTTGGGGAACATTCTTGAGTTAAGCTGTAACACTTTAGCTTTTAGTAAGGATTTGGAAATAACATCTTAGTAAAGTTAGCAAGAAGATCCACAGAAAGAGACTTGAGTTCATGCTTGAGAAAACAGAAATGGGCAAGCCACAGAAGGGATCTGGGACCGGGCGGTGACAAGTTGGATGACGCCATCCACCTGTGCAGCCGTGGCTCCTTTCTGAAGAGCCTCCAAACCGAACTGTTCTCCAACTTGGAGGAGTGTATTTCTGTTTTCTTTTTAATCAGGAAAGCTTAATGCACAGCTGGCTTACAGTCTTTCGAGGCGCATTGGAGGCCAAGAAAGCTATGAAGGTGAGAGAGAAAATCAACACCCTAATGGTGTGCAGCTTAGGGGAAGTATCTTTATCTCTCCCCATAGTTATTGAGGGAATTGCTATTTTGCAGCACAGTGAAATAATTTATGTTTATGTTTATGATTTTGGGTTATTGAGAAGAATGACATTATATTTAGGGTTTTTTTCTGAGTCTGGGAAATGTACAAAGTACTTGAGAAAATATTTCACAATTATTAACTGTGTGTTAATACTTTGACTAGTGTTCAGTTTTACTGAAACTTCACTAATTAGAAATATGATGTAGTAGAGTCTGTGAATTGTCGGACATGTATTTTCAACCTTCTTACCATGGGTCTTTCCATACTATGAGGCTTTGAAAGCCAGAGGTACATTTCCTAAACTCTGGTAGGTTTAGGGCTCTTTGAGATTTAGCCCCTTTGGAACATGGACTCTGGATATGAGTCAAGTGCAGAAAGAGGCGGGGCTGGAGACACTCACTGCTGTGGGCTCAGAGGTAGCAGAGGCCTCATTGCTCAACCTCAGGTGCTTCCAGATCTGCTACTCTGGCAGCCATGAAAGGTGCTTTCCTGGAAGTGGCACAGACAGCTAGGAGTAGTCCCTGGAGTTCAGTTACACACCGCCCCCCACCCCTTACCTTTCATGATTTAATACACCACAGGATCATTGCCAATAGATACTTTTGTGCTTCGTTAACTCTGGCATGGCCTCTGTTGTCTACCATTGAATGCCATATACCACATATGCCTCGTGCCTTCGAAGCCACCATTCTCTCCACCACTCAGCCTCAGGGCCTGGCACCCTATGGGCCTGTTATTGAGGTGAGGTTAGCCTGTCCAGTGATTTTAGAGGAGCTTAGAATAGCCTCCATTCCTTGACTTTACTGCCCCTAAATCTTAAGTAAAATTCCGCTTTTAAAATTTCATTTCCTTAAGACTAGTTTTTCTTTCCTCAAACTTCCCAAGTGCACCACAGCCCTGATGGATCTCCTCTTATTATATGTAGGTACATTTAACAGGAGATTTCTCTGTTCCACTCACTAGGGGAAACTTATGGGAGAGAATGTACCTGAGAAGTTGTGGTGGGAGTGTACAGTAGAGTCTGAAGGAGATGCAAATGAAGTAAGAATATTCCAAAAGGAACAACCCTTGAAGCAGGCAGTAGTGACTTACAACTTCATGTGAACATGCTGCAGAATTGCTTTTGATAAGGTAGAGTCAGGGATTGGGAAACTTTGGAGTAAAAAGTTCAAATGTTTGGAAAACACACATATATGTGGTCTAGGCTAGAATTGGAAGCTTTTGTTCTCAAGGGTGATAGAGCTCAGAACACAGAGGCTATAAGGACAGTTTGTCTGAAGCAGGGTCCTACCTCTCCCTGTTCAGGCTTCAGACGCAGAATAGAATCTGGTCTTGTGCTGAGTGAAGACAGCCTGGGATAGCAAGCAAGAGGGCTTGCAGGGAAACTGTTCCTCTCCTAGTCAAGGCAGGGCTGCGGGAGTTTCTCTTCTGGCTGATCCAGGGAGGGTTTGGAGGGATGATGCAAGTTTTTTTCTTTTCGCCAGTCATGTATTAAATATTTTGGACTATGAGTAGAATGATTTTAAAAAGCTATTTAGAGACAAGGGAAATAACTGTTTGGTCAGCAGAATCCTGGACTTCTAATGGGAGATGGCTGAGATGGGATCATTACAATTATTTTATAGTTGCAAGGAAGAAGTTTATCCACAAAGCCTTTCTTAGCCTTTCCTAAGAGACTTAAAAACAATTTCACAACTATCTAGTTTTAATCTCTCCAACATCCTTGTGAGGTATGTAAGAAAGAATATTCTTGCACATTTTTTTTAACAGATCTTAAAATCTCATGACAAGTGTTTTCCAAAGAAAGCATGTGGGGCCAAAGTGTGAAGCCAGCCAGAGAAGTCTGTCTTCTGAGAGGAAAGCTGTTATTTTTGCTGCTGAAGAGTTGTTTAATCTCTGCTTTTTTCTTTATATTCTGACTCTACAATTATTGATGGCCTCCAATGTAGTAATGCAGGGCATAGCGCTGACCTATTATGGATCTGGTGGAGCATTAATTATGAAGGCTTTCCTGTGGTTTGGACAGCAGACAGTGCACAGGGTTGGATTCTTGGCTAGGCATTTAGAAAGGTTTCAGAGTTGCAGAAAATCTCTGATACAAGAAGCTATGGAACCTTAGGCATGGTCTTTTTCGGGGCAGCTCTAAAGGGCTTTTCTGGTAATGAAAGGTAGAATTTCTTTCAAAAATCATTGCTAGTCATTACCTTCATACCTTCTATTGTCTGAGGAAAGAAAAAATTCTATTGATCTGCCCAGCTAAGTTTTACCCTTGTCAGTATCAAAGGCTTAATTTCTAACAATGGTAATGAATAATAGACAAACATTGGCAATTTATCCTGGATTGTTAAAGCGTGAAAGATAATGGAACTTCTCCCTTTTGTTTAACATGGGATTTGAAATAGACTACTACATAGAAATAGTTGTATTTCATTAAAGCATGGGGTCAACACAATAAAGGCCTTTGTGTTAAAGAAAGTGTCTCTATTTTAAAGCAATCTGATTGTAGCAGGTTGTGGATTTAGTTTTGATTTTTATTTCTTACTGATGAATGTTTAGGGTATCTCATTTTCATATTTAATTGTTAAAATAAACTTGGGGCTGAAGGCCCCTTACAAAGTCAATCAAGTTTTACTTTTAAACTAGAATTAGGCAAATTAAAGGATTCAACTGATCACATATAGTACCCAATGCCTGCCAGATTCTCATTTATGCTGAAATTGAATGCTGAAAACTAACAATGTGGCTTGCAAACAGTTTTTTATTATTGTCCACAAAACTTAATAAGGCTCTAATGTGCTATATATTAAAAAATCAAGATTCCCTTAAAATTTCATCTGTGTAGCTTTTAAGGGCTTCAAGAAGACATGCAGGATGTACTACAGAGTTGCTGTGCAAGTGTACTTTTTTTTTTTGCAGGTATTCTTGATACATCAGTTTTGCTCAGCAAAAGTGAGAGGATTTATTCTGAAATAATTATACCATATCATCATATAATTTTGCTATAAACAATTGGGCAATGACCACTCTTTCATTAAATTGCCGTGTTCAAACCTTACAAATTTTGGGAGAATTCTACAGTTTAAAAAAAAAAAGGTGCCATTTCAGTCTTGGGTAGAATGGAGAAGTAGAAAAAGGCCTATAGGGCCAGGCATTTAGCTCAGTGGTTCTGCCGCCTGACTTGTTAAAAGTGCATTCAGAGTTTTACTTTCAGATCTAGAAGAATCAAGCTTTTCTCATGGTAACATATCTGATGTTTTGTGTTGGGCAGCCTGACATGATTTTTATTTTGAAGTCTATAAGGTGGGGCTTCAGGAGTAACACAACATGCATTCTTGGGATCTCTGAAGGTTGTATTAAGTTCCTATTTCAAATCATGCCACTCTCTACTGCTCCCAAACCATTGATGATTCCCTATTGCCCGTTTCATAAAATCTAAATTCCTTAATGGTTCTTTTCCCAATCTACTCAGGACTGTCCTGCCGTCAGGACAGGGCTGCTAGTGTTCTTTCCAAGCAGGGGAAATAATAAGAGCAAAGGTCTAGAGACAGGAAAGCACAGTGGGCGTTGGGGTACAGTGAATGAGGGTGCCTGGAGATTAGATTCCATATATGTCAACTTTGGCCTCACAGGTGCCTTGAGATCTGTTACACACATCTTACTGAGCTCCTCTCTGTGCCAAAGATGGCTATCAGAAGGGAGGCAAAAAATGAATAATTCAGTATCCACATCCTCAGCCCTGCATCTGCTGCGGGCTTCAGGGCTGGTAAACAATCACCGCAGAGGCCATTCACTGCTTTGATACCCGCTCTGGCCACAGTTATGGCAATAATGGGCATTTGTTTCCTGATTTTTACATAGTTTCCCCACATTAAGGTACAATTTAAAAGCTACAAAGACATTAAGATAAGATCTGCTGCTATAAAAAACCTGGCCAGTGGTCTCCCACTTAGCGGTTGAAGCAGCTAATGTGCACACACTGCACTGTTAGCGAGACAGCAGAAACTCTTCCCTGTCTGCTTTGTTGTCCAGCCTCCGGTGGCCTTTCTTCTGGCCACCTTTGTGAGAGTTATTTCTCTGTGAGAGAGTTATTTCTTTTTCTTTCTCTCCTAGCAACAGTGCCATTCTTTCAGGGAGCGTTTGTCTCCCTCTCTGAGCAGCCGGCTAAGTCACAGAGGAAGGTAGAGGAAGGAGGAGAGCTCCAGTCTCCTGTCCTAGCTGAGAGGAAGCTGCCTTCCCACTAGGAAAATTCCTGCGGAGGGATGGGGGATGCGTGCCCTGCAGCTGGGTTCCTTCCCATTCTGATGGACAAACTTACAGTCAAGTGATCAGGGCTGAGGCACAGAAACAGAATCAGAGGTGACAGAGCTGGAAGAGTAGGGATGGCATGCTGTAAAGAAGAACAAAATGTGATGTGAGCACAGAAAACAGGATGGAAAAAGGAAAGGAGAAAAAACCAAAACCACATAAAAACCAGAGAAGTCAGAGAAAGGAAGAAAATAACTCTTTTATGATAGTCCAGGCCAAAGAGGGAAGAGAAGGACCCACTAGTTAAATTGGATCCATGTGCTTTTCCAGAAATATAGGAATCTTAAAGAGAATCCATGGCATGTGAAGCCTAGGAAGAAGACAGCAGCAGCACAGTGCCGCTGTGCATTTCTCCTCTTCCTTCAATGCAGTGGAAACCAGGAATCCCAAGCTCCAAACAATTCAGCCTAAAGGCAAGAGACAGAGGAGCACAAACTGCAGCAAGACAGAAACAAATGTCCTTTCTGATCTGTAGTAAGAGCAATCACAAATTACATGTGAATTATACTATGTGAGAAAGAAGGAAAAGGAAAAGGAAGAAAAGGGGAAGAAGGAAGGAAGGAAAAAGGAAGGAAGTGCTCCTTTTGCCCTCTCATCACCTTTTCTTCAGATGTGCTGGAAAGAGAAGTGAAGGCTGCCAAGTGCATTCCCGAACTTTTGAACATTAAAACCTTTTGTTACTGCCTGAACCTTGTTAGTAACTGGGGCATTGGCACCCATTGATACAAGGACACCTCCACCCAACATCACCACTGTGGGAACTGAAGGAGCTTGTTAAAATAAGGATTTGGGGACTGAAAGTCTCAGGCTGTGGGGCTTTCAGAGCTACTGTTCCCTGGGGTGATGCTCATGTACCCTTAGGTTTGAGAGGCTCAGCGGTCTGATCTGAAAATAATATAGTTCCTCTGCTTTCCCTAGGGCTATAGCAGTAATGTGATGAGAAAGTAAAATGGCTTTTGACCTCAGGATTTTTAATCTAGTCACAAGCTGAGCTGAAATGACAGAGCCCTGAGATTTTTGCCGTGGGCATGCTGTGCCTCACTTTATCCTGTCAGTTCCCTGGTGATCTTTTCTGACCTTAAAAGGTTTTTGAAGCCCTTGACTTTGGGAAAGTTTAAATCAGGAATGTTTTTTACTTCAAAGTGGTTGGTAGCTGGGAGATTATTTCTGGCATGTGTCATGATGATAAGACAAGTCGGGGGTGCAGGAGGGAGTTGCTCCCTAGGTGGTCCTGTGAAACAGGCAATGTTTTGATCATTCTTCACCTAAGCCCTTTTATCATTGTGAAATCTAGGTATGTCTCATCATGGGGAGCTAATGTCAGTAAATAAACCTAACAATGCCTGAGATGTGTTGCCAGAATGCACCCAGGAAAGTGCATACGTGTGTGTGTGTGTGTGTGTGTGTGTGTGTGTTGTGTCTTTTGTCTGAACAACATTCTGCCAGAGGCTCAGGGCCCAGGGTTGATCTCAGAGCCACTGGCCACATCTGTTTTCATTGTGTCTCGGCACTGTTCTCCCCATGTCCTCATCTTTGACCTTAGTCTCCCCGCCTCAATGACTTTGTGACACTTTCCCTGATTCTTCCCAAAGTCTTATGAAAGAAAGATATAAAGGTACCAAAGGAAAAAGGTACCAGGTTGGAGATATTATCTGTGAGCCAGTAATGTAAGTTTGACTCTGATTCTTTTTTGGTTGAGATGGATAAGCAACATGATCTGCAGAAGAAAAGGAGGTATCTTCCATCTGGCCTCGGCAGGGTTGCAGTGTGACGCCTGCTGTTTGTCAGCAACTCCTGAGACATGGTTGAGGCCCATCTGATGTATAGCACTGTGGGAGTGTGGGGTGACTATGACCTCTGTCACTATGCTTGAGAAACATCCTAGGAAGAGCAAAGGTGGAGCAAGTGTGCAAATGCTAGATCAACACCAAGAACAGGTGGACCCTGTGGGAGGTCATGTGAAAGAAAGCAGCAGACAGGCCCCTGCTCTCTCTCTCTCTCTCTCTCTCTCACACACACACACACACACACACACACACACACTCCAGGACATTAAACACTCCCAGACATTTTCCATACCACTAGCCCAGAACCAGCTTTATTAGGTTGTGGAGTGATTTTAGGCAGGGCTCCCAGCCTCACATTGCAGGCCCAGGGTCTGTCATTCCATTATAACTTTGTTCTTGCAGGTCTTCAAAGCTTTCATCTTGGCAAGTTCTTCCTTGCACAGGCTGCTTCTGATGAGCCCATAAGTCATGTTCAGCTGGTATCTTGATATTTAGCTACATCTCTGAGTGGGGAGGAAGAATTATTAATTGACAATCTGGTAGACGCAAATCCCATCCAGGACGTGTCTTGGGAGAAGCATTTGAGGGTAGTTCAAAAGAGGGGTTAAGTGCATCAATGGAACAGGTAGGAAGAACTCAACTTTGCTTAGTTCATCCTCCCCTTAGAGGCTGGCTTGAGTCTATCTTTCACATTTTCCAATGACAACAAAGAAGTATTTGATAGTCGTTTTTGTTTTTGTTTTGAGACAGGTTTTCACAATGTAGTTCAGGCTGGCCTGAACTCACTATATAGCACAGGCTAGCCTCGAACTCCCAGTGATCCTCCTGCCTCATCCTCCAGAGTACTGAGATTACAGATGTGTGCCTCCACTCCCTGCTTGAAGGTCTTTAAATAAGGTTAATACAGCCTTTTTTGATGGACTTACAGTTTGCCTTAACTTAGCACTCTGCTCTTAAGAATTTACTGTGGCAAGCTAATTATAAATGCACACAGGATTGATTCATTCTTCACTCTTAAATTCAACAATCATTTATTGAGTACACACTACATGCTAGTGCAATAGTAGACAAAGTCCCTGATCTCATAGAGCTTATATTCTAGCTGGGCAAGACAGGTAATAAAGAAAAGCATCATGTTATCAAATCTCACAGGCAGTTTTCAGTCTACAGTTCATTAGACATCTCAGTCTTTTCACTTTCTTCAGTTGGTTTCTGGGGCACTGCATTGTCTTAAGTTACTGTTTATCTTTCTCAGCACCATCACCTTCATCTCCCTGACTTTAAATTGGTGCAGTTAAATTACCCCCTCACATCTGTACACCAATGATCTAGGTTTATTTTATTTTCAGTCCTCACCACTTCCATGAGTTCATTCTTCTAAATCTCACTGCCTACTCCGTATCTCCACTCAGATGTCTAATAGGCTTAGGTGTGCTAGGAAAGCAGTCTCCTACTGAGCTATATTCCCAGCCTGTCCTTCAGGATTGTTTTAAAATGCATCTCAGACATCATATTTCTTAATATGTCAACTATATACCATATTATTTTACAAAAACAGATTAGAAAGAAACATGCATAATATGATTTTATTGTGGTAAACAATATGTGCACAGGGAAAAGTCGTACAGAATAGTTATCTCTGAATCATGGCATTATGAATGATTCCGGATCTTCCCCTTTGCTTGTGTGTATTTCCCACAGTGAACATGTTTTATGTGGAGAGAAGACGGTGCGGGTGGGAGAAGATATTGATGCTGACACCCAGCAGTATTCCTCTAGTGAATATGCTACTTTGGGCTGGGTCCTTCACATGGTAGAACAGAAACAACTACTCAGCAGAGGTGAGGATCCTTTGTTTCCTCCTTGGATGCTCCATCATGTAAAATGGCCACATCCACATCTGTCATTACAGCATGGCTTCTCAAGCTGGGCTGGATCATTCCTTATTGTGGAAGGCTATCCTTTTCATGGGAGGATGTGTAAGTAGCATCCCTTATTTTCTACCCACTAGTGCCAGTAACATCCTTTTCTACTGCTCTAACAACCAAAAATGTTCTCAGACATTGCCAAGTGTCCCTAGAAGCAAAATACCCATGGTGTGCAAGTTGAGATGCATGGTGTCTAGGAGGATGGCAGGGCAAATGTCCTATTTCAGGCACTTTGCCGGTGAAACCTCAAGGAGGATGCAATTTGTGATCTGAGGAGAGCTGCTCTTGTGGTTTAATGACCTGTGCATTTAATTAACCAACCTATGACAAGCGGTTAATGATTATCTGCATTTTTGAAACATATCCAGAAATGACCAAGACAAGTTCAACTCTATGAGAAAAGCAAAGATCATGAATGAAAGATTGCTTGTCAACTATGACAGTGATTGGTTAGATTTGCCTCTTCAGCTTACCAACAGATCCATTTCACTATTTGACATCCAGACACAGGGAAATATTGTGCAGAAGTTAAAAACAGGAGATTTCATCTTAGAAAATGAATGATGCTACATACATATAAATAGGTCTTTTTGATTAGTAATAAACACATAGTTGCAAAAGATAGAGGAAAGGGCATTTAAATATTGTGTTCAATTTAGAGGTTTTTTTCATAATGGAAAAATCTTATTAGAGAAGTATGGAAATGAGATAAGGGAAAATCTGAGGTCACCTTGCCCCTTCCCTTCCAGACCCACACTGCTCTGTATGCATTCTCTTCCCCACCCTGTTCTCCGCCCCAGGAGAGAATCTTATCAATAGCCCCATTTTAATCATACGGGCTCTTCCTCATGTTTCCTGTCCACAGTGAACCTCAGCAGATGAGCAGAAGGTACACACTAGTGGTATTAAAATCTTCAGAGGATTACTTTAGGGACACTGTGTTGATTGCATGGAAAATAAAACTTGTAGCAAAATCTACATCAGACGTTGCTGAACTAGGTTTATCAAGCACTGTATAAATTGTGTCTTTAAATGGTATTACATAATTAAACAACTTTAACAGAGTGTATTTATGGAGTTTTGAGTCTTAATGGTTATTTTCTTGAAATTGTTGGGTACTCCAAATTCCAGAGAATATCATGCAATATATTTATAAATCTCCATATACTTTTGTTATGTTTGCCTTCCTCAAAAAATCCTTTTTACAACAATATCTGGAATTTTACTCAATGGGAAATAATTTTTTAAATTTATTATTAATTGAATATCTTCTGTGGGCCAGGTATTATTTAGGTACTAAATTCATAATAGTTATGCAATATTTGTAACTCATCATGTATATATTTCCCCTCAGGAAAATGGAAGCTCAGAGGAGTTGAGTACTTTGTCTAAGTACTGAATAGCAGAGTCTGGACTCAAAGGCAAGTCAAGTAAATTGTCACAGGATGTGAGATTGTGTCTCACAGTTTGTGTGAAGAAAAATGTCCTTGCCTGGATTTTTCAAAACAGAGCCCATCAGCAATTTGTTGGGGGAGGGTGTATGTAAAAAATAAAAATAAAAGAAGTCAATCATAATGAAATGTTGAGGAGCCTAAGGCCCTGGGGTGGCCAGGGAATAGACTAGATTGCATTGAGTTTTATTACAGGTAAAGAAAAAGGATAAGTGCCTTGTTCAGTGACAAAGAATAAATTGGGTCTTTCTTAAACTAGGAAAGGAAGAGATTTCAGAGAGGCGAGCTCCCCATGGAAAAGCCCCAAAATTCAAAGGAGGAGCCGGTGGGGCTCCACATATTCAGGCTCTGTTGTCCAAGGCTAAGGGGAAAGAGAGGAGAGGTCAGCAGGGGCTGCTTCACAGAGAACCATGAAAAACGCAAACAGAAGGCACCTGGCTATAGCTTTAAAGAACAAAAACAACCCAAACCTAAACCTAAAACTCAAACCCATCCCCAAACCGGCGGGGGGAAAGAATTCTACCCACAACTGAACAGGAACATTGGACACTGCACCTCAGACTGAGCGTTCAGTCTGATTAATTAAGGTCACGGTGACTATGGAAATACCAGCTGGGGAGCATTTCGCCCAGAGATAAATTCGTGCCTTTGTATCTCTGAGAGACAGCAGGGAGGTGTGTGTTTGGAGCTAAATTAATTTGATTTACATCATGCCATGGTAACTTCTGTTCTCTCTCCCTGCTGTCAGATGTCTTCGCTGGCTTTTTCTCTCTCCCCCCCTCCCCCGCCACCCCATTTCATAACACGGAGAGAAAGCGCGATTGGCTCCAGGCAAAATTTAGAAATGGAATAACTCTAATTTGATTATTCTGCATTGAGTGCTGTTCTTTCTCTCCCAGCACCCCACCCCCACCCCTTTCTCGAGGAAGAGAAGTTGTAAACCCAAGCATAAGTGTGATTTATTTTTACATCGTGCTTCATGGCTCAAACCGCTCGACGATCAGAACTTATTCCTTGCGGCAAAACCCGGCAGCTCACCTAACCTCCTCCCGCGTGTCCTCAACAATGCTAACCCCAGAAACGAAGTTACAGCCCAGGCCCCTGCAGGAAGCCCCCCCCCCCCCGCCCCGGCCAGGCGCTGTAGGCCGGGCAGGGGGCGCCACCGAGGGACCCTGGCGCAACCAAGCCCCGGCCCGGCGCCCCGCGTCCCTTCCAGGGGCCCGGCGTGCTCGGCGGGGCGGGCTAAGGAGGCACCCGGGGCTGGCGGCGGGGCGGGTCCGGTCGCGGGGAGTCCCCACCGTCCGCGGGGCCGCCTTGGACCGGAGCACAGGCCATGGCGAGGGAGAGGCCGCCCGGACGCGGCTGTGGCGCCCTGCCCCGGTGTCTGCTCGGCGCCGCGCTGCTGCTGGGCCTGCGGCTCTGCGTAGAGCTGCGGCGCGTGGGGTCGGGGTCGGGAGCCCCAGTCCGCAGCGCCCCGCCGGGCCCGGTCCCCGGGCCGCCCGCGCCGCACCTGCTGCCCCCGCCTGGCCCTCCGAGGGGCACCAGCAGGAGGCAGGTGACCTACGTGCGCCGCGGGCGCCGGACGCTGGAGCCGAGCTGCTGCGCCCCGCGGAAGGTCAGTGGCGAACCGCGCTGAAGCCCACACCCGGCCAAACCGATGCTTTCTAAACCCGCTGTGCACTCCTGGGTGGCTTCACTGGTCACATCCTTCAGTTCCCGGGGGGGGGGACACGAAGTGGAACTGAGCAGAGTTCATTCCATATTCAACCAATATTTGCTGAGTGTCCACTGTACGGCAGGCCCTGTCCCAGGCTCTGAGCATCCAGCAATGAAGGACTAAACCCTGCTCAATTCAGGGAGGGGAGGTTTAGCGTGCTAGGCAGGAAAAGGACAAGAAAGGAGTCGTGGGTGCCATTATGTACTGTGGGTCTCCCAGTATTCCCTATGGAGGCCTGGATGAAGCTGGGTAGGGTACTAATGGAGAATGGCTTGTCCACAGCCTTCATCATGGTGATGAAAGCCCTCCTGGAGTCCCGCCCCAGCGTGGCAGGGTGGCTGGATTAGGGTGAGAAATCGAGTCCTCAGCATCCCTTAATGGGACTTTAATCGGATCCCCTAGGACGGAAGTAAAAGCGTGTGTTTGTCTTGCAACACTGGACAGTGTTTCTCTTCCTACCTAATTACTTCTCGCTCCACACCTCACTGAGCAGTTTGATTTTAACCTCTCCTCGTTAATCCTCTGACCTCTCATTCTCCACTTTTGAAGCTCATAATTTACAGGGTACTTGGAGTGAAAAGATAGGAGTTCGCTTATCCTATCCTCGATCTTATACCACTTGATCTTATACAGCTCCCACCGCATCCTAGGAAGCAGCTTCTGGCTGTGGCCTGGAGCCTCCTCTTTGCCTTTAAGCATCTACCCCATCCACGCACACTGCCCTCCCTTCCCCCCCAGCTCAGCTGCCCAGTTCTACCTTAGTTTCAGTACCCTCCACATTTCTTCCACTGCTTTCCTTTCTCTACTTCCTCTTCAGGTCCTGTCCCCCTTCTATATCATACTCCTGGATAAACTCAGTTCTTTTCTCTGTCACCAAAACCACATCTCCTATGTTAAGACTTAATTAGCACTTCCAGAAGAAAGCAGATACTTCTCATGCACCTCATTTGCCATGGTACCGTGTTATGTTGTGCATAAAACATTGTCATCAAGAGCTTGTCAGGCTCGGGATCAGTGCAGTGTTTGTGGGAGGCACTCAACAGAGGGACCCCATGGTGTGACCAGGCCTATAGTTCAAATCCAGTCCTTGAATTACTGATGGAAGAGTCAGGAAGGTGGCCTGAGGAGGAGACACTTGAGCAAGGACTTGACATTTCTCAAGAGTTTGGCTTCTTTTGGCCTTCTGTGGGTGTCCGCCAATGTCCTGTCCTTGAACCTCTTCACCATACCCTGTACTTTTTCTTTCGGATTCATTATCAGCATCTGTTGTTTCTACTGTCATCTGCACAAGACTTACTTTTAAATCTTTATTCCCACTTGAGACAACAGAATTGATAACTGCAGCCTATGCTACAGATGACAAGGTTTGAAATGCGTGTGCTTGCAAGCCCTGGAGGACAAGGTCACAAATCCCACCCCCACCCCCGGAGGCTGCTGCACTATCCCTGCTGGAGATGGGTGGGTGGCAGAAGTGGAGGTAGAGAGATACTGGGTGTATTTGCAAGGTACAGGGAGGAGCACCTGGTTTCTGTTTGTTTTGCTTTTTTTTTTGGTACCGGGGATCGAACTTGGGTCCTTGCGCTTGCGTAGCAGGCGTTGAAACCACTGAGCTAAATCCCCGGCCCTGTTTGTTTTGCTTTTGGTGGATGGACAGATATGTTTCAGACATGAAGTTGGAGATTTTCTTTGACATTTAGATAAAAATGTGAAATAGTCCATTGAGGGCCAGGCTGAAGTAGGGATTTGGAAGTCATTACAGTGTGGCACCCAATCCATGAGACTATGAGATCAACTAGGGAGTGAATGTGGCTTTTGAGGACAAGGGACATGAGCCTGAGCCCTGGGACTCAGTTTTGTTAAAAATAAATTAGGAAGAAAATAAAGAGGAAATACTTAACCTAGTTCTTGAGATGTAAGCACTGAATAATGGTGGCTTTAGTTTTCACTGATCTGTCCCAGCTCTTTAGCCTCAGCTTTTATTCAGATGTAATTGGTGATAACCTATTTCTGTTCCCCTGGCTTATGCTCATTCCTTTACTGGCCAGGTCTGCATCCTCCTTTCTACATTGTCCTGCCTTTCCGTCCTTGAACAAGGCTCAGTGCCTCAGAACCTTCCCAGTGGCACTTCATTAGTCCTGCTTCCATGCTGGTCTCTCCCCTCAGGATGACAAGAGGAATCATGAGTTCCTTTGTACGTGATGAGAACTCATCACCTGTTTCAGATTGAATGTTTTGTCTCCAGTCGTTCTCCATGGGAAGGACTGTCTTTCCTATAGTGACTCCTAGTAAATGCTTACTCCAGAATTTAAAAAATAATAATAATCTTTGTACTTTAGCCTATCATAGGTAACTCTAAATGTCTTTGGCTAAAAAAAAAATAAGAAAGAAGTAAATGGGCATATTGCTTTTATAAAAATATTAAGTTCTTAGCTTCCTAAGGAAAAAGATTTCCCTGAATTTTCTTCTCTTATTTATGTATTTATTTGGGTTTTTTTTGGGTGGGGGGGATATACAGTATGAGGTGTGATCAAAATATATAATGAATGTTTAAATAAAAAATTTTATGACAGTAAAAGACACATTGACATTAATTCTCTCAGAATACTCCCTCTTGCTCCACACAGATCCCATCATTCTTGTCCTTTTTGTTTTGTGTTTTGTTGTTGTTGTTGTTGTTGGTGGTGTTTTGAGACAGGGTCTTACTGTGTAGTCCAGGCTGGCCTTAGACTCACTGTGTAGCCCAGGCTGACTTCAAACTCAGGGCAATTCTCCTGCCTCAGCCTGTCCAGTGCTGAGATTACAGGTATGTGCCACTACGCCTGGCAGGAGTCAGTCTTGTCACTTGCTGAAACAGTTCTGGAAGTCCTCCTTCCTGAGAGTCTTTACAAGTTGTGATAAAAAAAAAATAGTGAATTCTGTTGCTAGTGCCATTCAGCAGAAAAGCAGACTCATGAAAATGTTACAGTATATCAGCATCCAACTTATTCACTTTGACAGGTACATGCACACACAGGCATCATGAGGTTGGATGTGGCGTGAACACTTTGTAATGTTGACTGATTAAATGCATGATGGTTTGTATAAAAAAAAAGTTGCACCTTGCAACTTATAGCTCTTTCCCGAAGGCAAATGACCGTGAAAGATAAGCTCTGTGAATGGATTCAGGACATCTATGCAGCTACAACAGTGCAACTAAAGATACTCACAGGAAAGGACTTCCAGAACTGCCTCCAAAAGTGGCAAGAATGATAGGCTAAGTGTGTTCCAAGTGAGGGGGATTAATGGCAATGTGTCTTTTACTGTAATACATTTAAAAAATTTTTAAGCATTCACCATATTTATCAATCAAGCTTCATACATCTAACTTCGCACAAGTTCCTAGACACCAAGGATCTTGAATTTGTTTAATTTCCCCCTTACTTCACAGTTGAATTAAAGAATTCCTCAAAACTGGAAAGACCAGTTGTCTAATCTGTCTTTCTACTTCTGGGAACAGAGCTTAAGGTCCTATATCTCTCTGGGGACAAATCTTGGTCCTTTGAGCCTCACATCAAGATATGGTATAATATAAGCTAAATGTACAGTTAAGAATTGAAATAACATTTGGAAGTTACTTGTTGAACTCCTCGAATTTTATTTGAATTTTGTTTGTTAAGAATACTGATAAACAATGTTATGAGGTTCTTGGCTACTTTGCCCTGGGCACCTACCAAATTGGTAAAAGAGAGCAAATTCCATTCTATTTTGAGGATGGCTTCTGGGTGGATGAAAACCTGTGTGAAATAATTGAGTTGCTGAGTGTTTCTTATCATTGTGCTTATTCACAGGTGTTTGAGGCACAAAAATTCTGCAATTATATTGCCACTTTAATCATAGCTTATGCCACTCTTGAAGAAAACAGTCTGTTATGAAAAAGAGAAGTGAAGCATAGTCCTCATGTAATTCTTTCCCTCTTCCCTCATTCCCTTCTTTTACCAAGCCACGTAGGAACTGGCTCTAAATACAGAGTTCTCTTGCCTATCAGACGTTCTAATCTTAGAGCACTGTGAAATGAGGGCCAATGATAGATGGTGAATAAACACTGCCCTTTTTTGTTATGATCAACCTAGAACCTATACATTTTTGTATGTTACTGACTTTGGAAGCATTCTGTTAGAGCTCTTCATCTTCAAATTTTGCAGGCTACATGTGGCATAAAAATATCACTATGATGTTTTTCTTTCCCTTCTGTTTTCTCTCTGTATGTATTTCTGTTTGTTTGTTCTTCCCCATTAAACAGATACTTACTGTGATTCCCATGGGAAAAGTTCTTTTTGGGGAGATTTGTAGAGAACTAGACAAGGTCTCCATGATTTATGCTTCTTTATGCAGCTCTTGGGTACCTGCTATATCTTTTATAGGTTGGCAATCCACCTAAAAGACAGCAGCTTTGAAAATATAGGGCTCATTTGCACGGAGAGACACTTCCTTGGGCCAGGCTTCCTGAAAAAAATGCCTTCTGTCTTATCAGAGATGTGCTACTTGACATTTAATATGCTGGCTAGAAAAGAGACTTCTGAGTCACTGAGCTACAGAGCCCAGAGATATGCTGGCTTGGCTTGTTAGTCACAGATCCTCTGGAACAAAGTGTGTGGGGGGGGGGGGGGGGGG